CCTCACTTCTGACATCAAGTTTGGAGGTCTCCAAGCCCACCTCAGGTTCAGTAATTCAGTAGGACTCAAAACTCTGAAAAGCCAATATACTCATGATTAAAGTTGATTACAATGAAAAGATATGGATTAAAATCAACCAAGGGAAGAGGTGCATAAGCAGGGTCCAGATGAGCTTCCAGTTGTCCTTTCCCAGTAGAGCTGTGCAGATAGTGCCTATTTGTTCAGGCAACAGCAAATGACAATATATATGTAATATTGAGAATCCCCCATGAAGGAGACTTGTCCAAGCCTTGGTGTCCAGAGTTTTACTGGGAATTAGTCATGTAGGCATGGTAGACCACTGTGTGGCTGACCCTATTCTTGTTGGCATAGATTATGTAGAATGGCCCAAAGCCTCTGGGTAAGCAAAGACACTCATCCAGGCAAGATATTACAGGGTTTTAGTGGTTGCTTCCCTGGAGCTGAAGGCAAAAGCCCCACTTCTTTTTGGGCAGGTTAATCCTTCACTGCACCTATGTCAAACCCTTTGAGGATATAGATGGGATTGTGTCATGACCCAGGCTTACCAAGCACAAGGAGCTCCCCATCACACTAAAATAGGACCCCTATTCCCTGCCCTACCTACAAATCCTACTAGCCTTTCCCGCTCCATCTTGATTGCTATATTCCAACACACAGATCTTCTTTTGTTTTTCAGGACACCAAGCTCTTTCTTGGCCTTTGTACTAGCTGTTCCACTGCCTGAAATGTTCTTCTCCCAGTTCCCCACATAATTGGATCTTTGTTGTCATTCAGGTCTCAGCTTAATAAATGTCATTTCCTCAGAGGCCCCTTGCCTGTCTGCCCAAATTAAATGAGTCTCCAAGTCAGTCCCTATCCTATCACCTTGTTATGTGTTCGTCATAGCAGTGAGCATTGCTTATTATTTCCTAGCTCATTTGTCTCTTAATTTTTCAGTTAGCAATTTCCCTCCATGCACATAGTAAGAGTAATAAGAGTTCTCTGTCTGCAGCACCTAGAACATGCTGGGCCTAGAGTACGTGCTCAGTAATTCATTGAATGAATGAATGAATGAATGAGCAGCTGGATGAATAAATAAATTTTCTGAAAACTGGTTTAGGCAAAATTAAGTAGAATTCTTTATGTCAATATCTTCAGAGCCTTTAATATACTAATGTAGATTATGAATCTCTGAGTATTTCCAAGATTAGTTTTGGGGAGCATTAATGTGGAAACTTGGCATTTTCAAGGAGTCAAATTCATTTTCACATGTAAATCCCATTTTAAAGAAAAGTAATCCAAGTTATGGTACATATTCTTGAAATTTTACTATGCCTGACCCATCCTTTAGGACTCTACTCTCTGTAATTAAGCTGATAAATTAATTTGTACTTAGGTATAAATGTGTAATACTGCCTTAGGATCGTTCACTCCTTCTCTTATGTATTCATTATATTGAATCCGCATTGATACGAGGAACAGGGCATAAAAATAATGGCAGTGGTGGGCTGGTGAAAGATGGTTTCCAGAATGGGAGCCATTGGTATTCCTTAGGTTATGTATGGGAAGTGTACATTTATGCCTCCTGTACCTAAGTTCTAATTGCTGATATTTTTCATAATCTTTGGTAAAAATATGTTTGAAGTGGCTTTAAAAAATTCTGTTGATGAACTTATGCTATAGAAAATTGTGTGACAAACAATCTCCAACTTAATGATGGTTCAACTTATGATTTTTCAACTTTATGATGATGTGAAAGTGATATACATTCCATAAAAACTGTAATCTGAATTTTGAAATTGAATCTTTGCATTAGGCAATATGATACTCTTTGGTGCTGGGGTGCAGTAAGCCACAGTTCCCAGTCAGTCAGGTGACTGAGGGGAAATAATTGATGCTCCCCAGTGTACTGTGGCTCACCTAGGGTGCTCAGTAGGTGAGTTATATTAAACACATGTTGACTTACAATGTTTTTGACTTACAGGAGTTTAGCTGGACATAGCCCCATCGTAAGTGGAGGAGCATCTGTATCTCTATTTGAAACTTGTGCATTGATAAAGATCACACATTTCTTTTCAGATACTACAGGTTCTGGATTCTTCTTTCCATTAAAATAAGGTCTGTGGTTTTTGCTGTCTCAGACAACTCAGCAGGACAATACTCATTCCAGATGCCTCTTCTTCCAACCCTACCCTCCTTTAGTGAGGGGAATCGATGCCAGACTTCACATATAAAAAATCGAATGTGAATTATCTTTTCTTCTGTCAAACTTTAGGTTTCTGTTAGAGCCAGGCTATGTCAGTTTTGACCTTACTCCTAGGATGCAGCCCTCCTGACTTTTCCACTTTTGTGGAACTTGGACTCTAACTTCTTATTCCCCAGCTGGTATATGGCTCCCTCACCTAGTAAGCGACCCCTGCCCTACTTCCTATGGAGACTCCTCTTTGGAATTTGTGAGTCTGTGAATTCCCTTCAAACCCTGTGTTGTATGCTCTGCACTAAACCCAACTCCTGTGTGTGGAAACTTGGAGTTCTGATTAGAAATTCCAAGCCTTCTTGGTTAAATACCACAAACTGATAAATCAGTCTTGGGATCAAGGCTTGGGCACTTCTGCACCTGGGCCAGCCAGTATCCACATGTCTGTAATGTCCAAATGGACATTCTGTCCACTATTTTACTGTCTCTAACTGGCTACCTCTGAGTATACCAGTTAATTCTTGAGCAAATTTTAAGTCCATCATGAAAAACGTATAAATTACTGCTACAGATTCTGTTTATTGCCAAGATTTTACAGACAGATGCCTCGATAAATGTGTTTTTATTTGCTGTGAATGACTTCTGCATAGTGCCATTGAAAAAAATATATAATTCAGATTCTTCCATTAAAAGAAGGCAGCTGTGGTGTGCAGAGAGTTGTCAAATATCTTGTGACTCCAGTCAGGATTATTCTGGGGCTGATTTGGAGGGAGTTTAGCTATTCTAGCAGAAAAACTGTTGGTTAAACGTGAACAGTTAGAAAACCCCTTTCCATGGCCTGTAGCACAAAAAATGAGAGGTAAAATTGAAACCAGAAGACAGTTCTCCAGCTGAGACTCTATGTTGAAAGCCACGGGCTGTGGGACAACCTCAGGGGAAGGCTGAATGGCTGGGCCGGGCTGAAAACCTGTTAACCAGGCTCCCGAGGGCTGTGTGCTCATAGGGTTCTTGGGCATAGGTTTGGATGACTCTGCTCCCCTTTTTTCTGTGCCAGGTGTGTGCACAGGTCTGGAAGCAGAGAAGGAACATCAGAGGAAGTGGGACACAGGTCCTGCTCTCAAGCTAATCGCCGTGACAAAGGCTGAGATACAGGCACAACTTAGGTGCACTTGACTTCAGATGGCCCGCACAGGGCAGTGAATGGCCTCGTGTCCTTCATGCCCTGTTGTCAGGCCCTCTCCTACAGGGAGGCCCCTTCTGCTTGCCTCTTTCCTATCGCTGACATCTTATTTTCTGGAGTCTGTTTTGTTCAATTCCCAGCCCCTCCCAGTATGCCCAACCCCCACCCCATATTACTACTGGGATATGCTCTTTTCAAAGCCACCAAAGTTCACAGCCACCAGAGCCATCCACCAGCCAGCCATTGATCCTTTCCTTCCTTTCACCTTCGTCAGGGCTCCCAGTATCCAGAGTTTCAGAACTAACTGTTTAAAGCTTAGAGCAACTTGAAGGTCAAGGCTCCTATTCATACTATTCCATACATATTGTGGATTCAGTAGGCTTTGGAGAGTGGCTGAGAAATCAGTAATCTTTTTGTAGCATGGAAGAATTTTTGGAGGAAGTATCTGTGATTGACAAAGTGTTATCCTTGGTTGCCTGTTTTCAAAAAATTAAGCACCAACTAATTTGGAACAGAACCCATCTAGAGATCACAATTCCAAGCACATATGCATCTAAAATCAGAAGCAGTGTCAAGATGGGGTGTAGCCCAAGGGTAGAGCACATGCCTTGCTGGCTTGAGGCCCTGGGTTCCATCCCCAGCACCACAAAAAGAAAAAGAAAATAAAAGAGAAATATGCATGAAATCAGAACCATTAAGCAGAAATGTGCCCAGAAGAGATGGAGAGACACATATCATGATCAGTGTGACTTAAACCAGGTGGGATTAGTTGGGCAGTATTTGGGGTCAGTAAGGGTAGGGAGAATAGGATCCCAACTTGGCAGCAAGGAACACAATGGCCTATATGGTAAATTAGAAGTAGACACAGTTAGAAGTGGATAGTTGTCATCCATTGATTTTATTTTATCTTTTTATCAGTTTGGTGTGTGGACTCCTTGTTCTTCCTCAGCATCCTTCTGACCCCCAGATTTGCTTGCGTCTTCTCTTCCTGGACACAGGCACTTTGCTCTACTCCATTTTTAGGAGGTAGTGCAGCTGCTTGCTCTGAGCCTTTGTGAGATTGGCAAGAGTATGTGCTGCTCTATTTTTTGTCTTTTTAGCAACAGATAAGGCGGACAGGAAGTTTTATTGGCAAACTTGGCCGCAGCTTGACGTGTGCTGTTCCACACACTGTGTTTTCTCATTGGGCTGGGCCCCAGGGAAAAGGTGGCCTGATGGGTGACTCCAGTCTGACAGTCCGCATCATGTCATCTGTTGTTCATAAACCAGCAAATATATAACCAGATGGATTGTTCAGGTTAATCCCCAAATCTTGTCTTTTTTTTATTTATCTCCAAAATTGTTCATAAGATCAATATTGTTCATAAGATCAGGGTAAAGTGTCCAGCAGGAAATGATTCCCTTTATGCCTGGGTCTCTCTTCATGAACTCTCTCTTCCTGTTACTCCAGGGAAGCAGGTTATGATGCTTGTCATCAGGCACCTGAGCCTAGTGACAAGTAAGGTATCATGTGCCAGAAATTGTATAGGTCAAGAACAGACCTGAAAATAAGAGCTTTCTTGTAAAACTGTTAGCCATTTTAAGTTCCAGACATAATGTATACCTTTTTCACCAAAATTGCAGATTGCCGTATCCCTCAAATTGAAGATGCTGAGATCCATAACAAGACGTATAGGCATGGAGATAAGTTAATCATCACCTGTCATGAAGGATTCAAGATCCGCTATCCCGACCTCTACAACATGGTTTCATTATGTCGTGATGATGGAACGTGGGATAACCTGCCCATCTGTCAAGGTATGGGAAGGAAGCCTCTATCGCTGGCTGTTCTTCTCTCAGACTCTATTGTACATGTTCTTTGATAGAGTGATGGAGATGATGGAGCGGAATGCGAAGCCGTCCACCCCACACATGACCTTTGTGTCTTCACTGCTCTCGGGATATCCATCTTTAGTACTTGTAGAGGTGCAGCTCCATATACCCACCTTCATGGTATAGGTGGGAAGCCCCTAATTCTTTAGCATGTCATGTGGTCCCCTAATCTAGAAAATCATATAGTTGAAGAACTTGTAACTGGGCTGTGAACACAATGATGAACTATTGTATACTAAATGGATACAGTGGGGCATTTACACTTATTTCAGTGGTGGTGAGAATACAGTTAAAGCCCATCTTACAGAAGGCTATTTTCTCTTAATAATGTTATCCCTTTTTATAATGCATGAAGAGCACAAATATCATCAAATTCAAATTTCATCCAAACCACACGGTGAATATTCATCTTCTCATATTTTTTTTTTTTCAAATTTGCCTGGGCTGACATAAAAGGACCCTGTTTGTGAAAATAAGCCTTTGCATTTCACATTAATTCTGATTTTATTTTTTAACATGTGACTTGGACCAAAGGACCAAAAAGCCAATGCATAATTCATAATTTGATGGAGAAAGAAAGCGATCTCATTTGCTCCAAAAGCTCTAGCATGTTCAAGTTGAGACGAATGTTAACTTTGTGCTTGGAAATCACAACTGGCAGACTCCAATATTGCTTTGTGCAACTCATCGTGGGAAATAAATTGTTTCCTTACACTGGAGTTTAAGAGTCATGACCCCGTGAGGAAGGGAGCTTCTGGAAGTAGGAGGACAGAGTCAGCCATACTCCCTGCCCTTCCCTCAGAAATGGCCCGATGTGCTGGCCTGTTCTGCATCCCATTTCTAAAGGGGTCACGTGCCTTATTTACATGCTCAGAGGCTGTCTACAAAATAAGCAGCTGGCTCCTTCCTGGACTACTTATTCAACACACTCCATGATCTGCTGATGGGTGGTTGGTCTGCAGCACTGTCAGAGCCGTGCTGAAGATCACCTCAGACTCCAGCCACTATGAGTTTTTTCTCTCCTACTCTTTCTGTTCCATTTTGGGTCACTAAGTACTACATCTTCTTTAGGAATTCCTTTTTCCCTTAATGACTTTCTAAACATAACCCATAGTTTACCTCTTGGGGTGTCATTTTGAGTTCAGATACTTGCTTCCCCATGTCTCTGTCTGGCCACCATGGCTCCCCATCCTGTCACCCCTTAGTCAATCTCCAGTCAAGACAGGACTATTCTAAGTCTGCAACACAGAGAGCCGACTGACTGGCTTCTCTTATGTGTGTGTGTGTGTGTGTGTGTGTGTGTGTGTGTATTTTGTGTGTTATGTAACAAACCAGAGCCTCGTGCATGCCAGGAAAGTGCTCCCTCTCTCTGAGTTACATTCCCAGCCCTTGACTGGCTTCCCGAGAGAGTTTTGTCTCTTGGGACAACATATACATCGCAACCTGGTTTTAATTTTTCCTCAGAGGCTTCATCCCACCAAGGTTGTGTCCTGGTGGCCCGTGCTGTGGCCCCATGCCACCCTGCAATTCCCTGCCTGTGGAGAGGTTCTGCCAGCTGAATCTGCACCAGCCTCCTCCCAGCCATTTGTCTAACACGGGATAGGGAATGAGGAATCAGTTACCACAGACAGCCTGACACCTCTCCAAGCCCCCTGGGGGAATATAATTGGTCCTTAGAATGACATTTCATACAATAACTTTTATTTTCACCTATGGATCCAGGGGCTAAAGCCTGAAGAGGCTTCTCTCTATTATCTAGAAGTGCAAATGGAAATCACATTGAACTATTGAGTTGAAGCCAGTTTTTTACTGTTATATTTAGGACAGTCTGCCTCCAACCAAGAGTGAGCATGTCTTCCCCTCTCAACTCTGATTAAATGCATGAATTTTAACCCCTGCCATCTCCTCCGGGGGTGAGGTGAGAGGCTGCTCAAACCCCATTTTTTTGTGGGAATTTTATATTTTGGAGAATAGTGTCTGGATGCCTCCTGCTCTCTATGGGTCATAGCTAGTTTTTATTTGGGAGAAACCAGTTTATTCATGTGAGTAGGTTAGAACAGCAACCCATTCCTAGGAGGAGAGCGAGCATAGTCATTCTTGGCAACTCAGTTGAACTATGCATAAAGGTTCTAACACATTTAGTTGTTCATATTAATGTGCTTACCTTAATTATTTATTTGTCTGTTTGCTTTTGGTACTGAGGATTAAACCCAAGGATGCTGTGCCACTGAGCCACATCCCCTGCCCTTTTTATTTTGAGACAGGATCTTGCTAAGTTGCCCAGGCTGTTCTAGAATTCACAATCCTCCTGTCAGCCTCCTGAGTCACTGGGAACACAGTGTCCGACTGTGCTTATCTTTTTTCTCCTCAATTATTGATTATGTTTATTACACACACACACACACACACACACACACACACACACACTTTGCTATGAACATTTTTAGTTTTCAGCTGCAGGGTGGAGGTGGAGGTCAAAAGCAATCTAAAGCCATGAGCCATGAGACTCTCTAAAGAATGGCTGAACTCCACCACCTTTTGAGTCTGGTCCATCCTAAATATTAGCTGGTTCACAATGGAGTCTGTGGGTAATGCAGAACTTGGGGTCCCCAGGACACAGGAACTGCACCATCCTGGGAGTGAACGCTTCCCTAAAATCCTGCATTCCTGTACCTCACTTGTCTTAACCACACTCACTGTGATGCACGGGCACCATACACTAAGGGGTCCACCAAAGCCATTTGCTGAGACATTCCTTCCAGACACTTAACACTATCCAGCACAGTCAGTTTGTAGAAAGGTTCTGCCATCTGCCATTGTGCATGTGATGCATACGATCTGTACTTGGTGACTGGAAGGGGGAGTAGGTATTTTCATTATACATCCTCAACTTCACACACAATTAGTTCTCCCCTGGAAGAACACCAGCTCTGCAGTGTCATTATTCCCTCCAGTGAAACTACTGAAGTTAAGAAGAAATTCCATTATCACAGCGGATGCCACACACAACAGAATTCTGTGCCATTGGCAATGTTATACTGGGCCACCATAGGCTTCTAGACCAAAAGGCAGCTAATTCTTTACAGAAGTAGGAATGTGGGATCCAGGTCCCAGTTCTGCTGTGATAGCACACTGAATTCTGCGCTTGATGCACTGACTCATTACTGACAGTGTTTCTCCTTGTGTGTTCCCCAGAGCAGCAGCTACAGTGGTACTTGGACCATTAGCAGTGCAAATCCTCAGGCTTCAACCTAGACCTGCAGAAACAGAAGCCCAGGAGGCTGGCCCAACAGTCTGTGTTGCACCAGGCCTTTGGGTCTTTCTCAAGTTTGAAAAACCTATCCTGCAGAATTCTTCATCTGCTTCATGTAAAACACAACTGAATTTTCAAAAGTTTAGTGGTACCTGCTAAGGGAAGTTTCCCTTCCATAATCTGTACCCATGGAATCAATTTTTGAGCTTAACTTTCCCAAGTCCCCATCACATCACTAAAACTTTTGGAGCTTCTCTCCAAGGGCTCTTCAGTGGATCTCAGCTCTGACAGCACCTTTGGATGACTTGGGGAGCTTTTAATAAAAAGCTTTTAATAAAATACAGTGATCCTCAGACCCAGGGCAAATGATGTCCCCTCAAATGATGTCGGCGTACACTGAGGGCCAGAACCACTGGACTAGGGGTGTGCCAATCCGTATCACACGCTCAACTACCATCCCTTACCCTCATTTGTAACTACTTATCTGACTCTTTAATCTCACTTGCAAATATACAAGCAAATATCTGAATTAGAAGTAGAAGAGGTTAGTAGAACAAGGAGTCTGTGTGTTAAAAACCAAAGTACTTTCTTCTTCAGAGGCCGTTATGGGATAGATAAGCGATGTCCCCCAAAAGCTCACGTGTGAGACAATGCAAGAAAGTTTAGAGGTGAACTAATTGGGTTATGAAAGTCTTAACCTACTCCGTGCATTAATCCTCTAATAGGGATTATGTGGGTGGTAACTATAGGCAGATAGGGTGTGGAGGAGGTGGGTCCTTGGGGGCATGCCCTTGTGGGTTGATATTTTGTCTATGGTGAGAGGATGGCGCATGCTCGCTCTCTCTGCTTCCTGGTGCCATGTTTTGAGCCACTTTCTTTCACCACACTTTTCTGCCATGATGTTCTGAATGAATGAAATTGACTGTCTATGGACTAAGACCTCTGAAACTGTGAGCCTCAAAATAAACTTTTCCTCCTCTATTTGTTCTTGTTAGGTCTTTTGGTCACAGTGGCAAAAAGAGCTGACTAAAACAGAGGCAATGCTGTTTTGTTCTTTCTTCTGTGCAGTGGGCCAACCCTGAAGAGTCCCAGTGTGCTGGTTGGCTCTTGGATGTACAAAGATGACCAAGTGAAACTTTCCTTTTCTTCTTTCACATTTCACAGGCTGTCTGAGACCTCTAGCCTCTTCTAATGGCTACGTGAACATCTCTGAGTTCCAGACCTCCTTCCCAGTGGGGACTGTCATCGCCTATCGCTGCTTCCCTGGATTTAAACTCGAGGGGTCTGAGTATCTCGAGTGCTTGCACAACCTTATCTGGTCATCCAGCCCACCCCGGTGCCTTGCTCTGGAAGGTAACACATCTTAGCCTTTTGGAGTTGCATTTTGAATTATGAAAGTGGGCATTTCGATGGGAAATAAAGAGCTGCAAATGATGGCCAGCAATAACCTTTATTCCCTGAGTCCACTTTTCTTGCTTTTGTCCAGAGCAGAGACCACCTGCCATGAAACCATACTTCCCGTTAGATGTAAAATTTGCTTCCCCCATCCTCAGGCTCACAAGGGGAGGAGAGTGGGTGAAAGAAAAAGTTGCAAGCATCAAAGGTTAAACTCAGAATATTGCAAAGTTAAACGAAATGTCTTCAAAAATTAATTTTCTCTGCACCAAATGAAAACATATTGCATTATGGCATCATTAATCTCACCCCTCGTTTTATTGTTGTGTCAATGTTTTCTCCATATTTCCATGCATTTTATAGCTTAGCTATAAATGTTTTGCTGCAAGCACATCCTTGGAAGCCTGAAAGCAAGAGCTCTTTCTTCCTTGTTTATTAAATCTATATGATTACAGAGTGTGCATCACTAAAGACCACTAATCAGCGGTATAAGATAGTGAGGGGGAAGGGCATCCACTGCCAAGATCAAGGCAGTGTCATGGGGTCCATAAAAGTCTTGTGCTAGACAAGACGGACATACTGGTTCAGCCCTTGCTTTAACACCCACCTTGAAATTATGCCCGATGTGATTCTTGGCATGTGAATAAGTGGGTGGGAAGGGAGCTCCATTGGGAAAGAAAAAAATAGAAAAAAGAAAAGGAAAACTCCCATCAAGAGCTCCTCTAAACCTATTTGGAACCTTGGTTGGAAAAGAAACAAATAAAGAAGCAACAAAATGTGGAAGCAAACCAGTTCTTACAGGTTTACAGCAGCTTTATAGTGTGCAGCTCTGTGGGAGGAGGTAAGAGTGGGCAGTATGTCTGGAGGGCGATGCTCAGAGGAATCATAGAAAGCATTTATTCCTAAAGGAAAGGATGGAGCCTCCTTGGAGGGAGAGGGAGTGGTGGGCGGCAGGGAGAGTGGAGGGAACCCTGGGTGGCAGGGAGAGTGCCAAGCCTGGGCCATTTTTTTGCCTTATCCCTAGGCTGGTCATTAGAGCTCCTGCTTCCCTCACCTCTCACCTGTCCCAAATCCTCTAATGGATTGGCAGGATCCCAGGGTAGAGGTGTTGGATAAAATAGAGGACACCCAGTTAAATTTGAATTTCAGAGAAACAATAAATAATTTTTAATAGGAGCATGTCCTGAAATGTTGCATGGAACTTAAGGTTAAAAAAAAAATCCTGCTTTGGCTTATCTGCAATTCAAATATAACTGAATGTCTTGTACTGCTGTTTGCTGAATCTGGCCATCCTTGCCTGAAGAGACAAGGTCATCCCCTTTGTTACCAGTGGACTAGCCTTTCTCTTGTCTGGCTACTGATGGTGGGTCAGGGTAGGCACATGAAGAAGGGGGCCTGTCTTCTAGTTCCTGGAGGCTTTTTTCTACCCAGATGACCAGGGAGAGAGAGGGGTAGTTTAAAGATATCATTATTATGATTTTATCTATTTGAAATGCCCATTTTAAATTTTTTTTCAAATTTGGCTTAAATGTGTTTCAAGCAGTCAGGTTTTGATAAGCTTCATTTGGGGACTTAGAAAGCAGTTTTTATGGAGCCTAGAGAATATGATATGGAGAGACATAAAACAAAATCTTAACTTCAAGAGGCAACGATCTAGGGTTGTAAACAGAAGCTGTGAGCAGCTTCTGGTTGAAAATGAGTCTGCTTGCTTAACACATGCCCTTTTCCACTGTAGCCTCAGCTCTGGGCTGCAGAAAGATGCTGAAGATCCAACCTGATATTACCTGTGCCGGGAAGGCCACTTGAATGCCTTTTACCCTCAGTTGGTTTTTCTTTTAAATAATGTTCACATCTTGATTTTTCAATACATGTCTCTTTAAATTATCTGATGAATTTAATTTGTGAGTCTTTTTAGATGCACCACTGCTAAAGGTACAAAAGCCGAGACTCTAAACTGAGAGATAACAGAGTTGGCCAAAGGAAAACTAGATAGAAACTGGATGAAGGCAAACAATGAGCCTGGTGTGATGGCACATGCGTACAGTCCCAGCATCTTGGGAAGCTGAGGGAAGAGGATCACTTAAGGTCAGAGTTCAAGTTTAGTCTGGGAAACAGAGACCCTGCAGAGATCCAGTCCCCGCCCCCCTCAAAACAACAATAACAACAACAACAACAACAACAAAAAGCATAAGCAATGGATTAAAAAAATAAGAGGCAGAGATTCATGAGAACACTATCCAGTTGTGCCTAGGTATTGGCACTTCTTTAATTCTTTCTTCAAATTGTATATCATCTTTTTCAACCTCAGTGCCTTATTTATGTAATATTATTGCAGGGTTTCAAAAGAGATGAACTGTTTCTGGGGAATCTACCCCTTTAATATATCACCCACACTCTCCCCCACCTTCCTGTTTTCCTAAACCCACAATTTGCATGATTTGATTTTTCTTGATGGCATAGTAAAAATGATTGCACTGTGCTGTAGAATCATGATGTTATTGGGGGCTTTAAAATACGTTAGGGTGCTCCTATAGTGAGTGAGTGGGTGCTGTGCAGGTCTTTATGAGGTTTTTATCCTTTCCCCTTCCTCTCCTACTACTAATGCATCAGCTACCAGTGTACCTGTCACTCTCAGGGAGCATGTGGTAGCATCTTTTCCCCATGCCCAACTTGTTGCCTTGCCTGCTGTGAGCCAGGGTATGGGATCCCTAAGCTGATCATGGGTATATCAATTAAGACTGTTGGCCATCAGGCTGGCTGGCTTCACATCCTGGGTCTCTTGCTTAGTCACTTTGCCCTAGAACAAGTGGTTTTGCCTCTATTGGCCTCCATTTCCATTTCCTCATCTGTAAAATGGGGTGGTGATCTACTTACCCCATGTGATTGTGAGGATTTGGTATAACAAATCTGACATATTTAGTGAGGTTTCTGACACATAGCAAATGGCTAATCAATTGATGTTTTTAGAGTTGAGTAAAAGTCACTGTATAAACAAGTGAGGATCTAGGCATAATTCTGAATGAATAAGGTGCCCAGGCTTTGGGGTATGTACATTGTGACACTAATTTTGGTTGTTCAGGTGCAATGTTAGTTACTTGCATGTTCTAAGCTGTGTTTGTGTAAGATGGAACAGATAAGGGAAGGAAATACTGAACAATAAAGATAATTGCCTATATTTTTGAGAGATAATTTTTAGTCAGCTTTTTTTTTTTTTGCCACTGTGACCAAAGGACCTAAAAAGAACAACATAGAGCAGGGGAGGTTTATTTGGGGCTCATGATTTCCGAGGTCTCTGTCCAGATGGCCAACTCCATTGCTCAGAGCCTGAGGCAAGGCAGAACATCATGACAGAGGAAAGCTGCTCAGGACAGGGCAATCAGGAAGCAGAGAGAGCTTCACTCATCTGGGACAAAATATAAACCCCAAAGGCATGACCCCAGTGACCCACCTCCTCCAGCCATATCCTACCTGCCTACAGTTATAGCCCAGTTAATCAGTGGATTAAGCCATTGATTAGGTTCTACCCCTCAACCCAATCATTTTGCCTCTGAGTGTTCTTTCATCGTCTCACACATGAGCTTTTGGGGGACACCTCATATCTAAACCGTAATAGGTGACTGTATATGTGCCAGTCTCTTGACCAAAGTATCTGTTCACTGCTACTAACCCCACCTTGCTGATGACCAAAGCGAGGTTTCTAATGGCTCAGTAACTTGCCCAGAGTCAGCTAATAGCGAGGGAGCTAGAACTTGAGCATGAGTCTTTGTCACGCCAAAACTCTTGATATAAACCTGAGTCTGATGAACTTATTCTGACTTTGCGATCCAACAGGGAAGGTGATTTGGTTTTTCAAAAACTAAAAAACAAAATTAAAGCTTTATTACATAGGAAGGAATTTATCATTCTAGGCTGTGGTCCTCCTCAAGAAATGTGGTGCTTCACTTCAGCTAGTGAGCTGGGCAGAGATGGTCAGTCTCCTTTCACAGATGGGGACACTGACACCTTAGAGGATGGCATAACTTGCTCTGACCCCCTAGCTGTCAGGTGTGGCTTTTTCTGCCACATGGCACCCCCTCTCCCTAATGGAATGGAGAGCCAACACTTGACCTGTCACACTCACATGTAAACAGTCCTATTTTTGAAGGTCAGCTTTGGGAGGAGTTGATCATGATCATTTGGAGGAAGAGAACTTGGTAGTATCATCGAAGGTAGGAAGAGTTCCAAGGACCAGTATAGAGGTCAAGTATTTTTGAGCCAGTACTCTTATGCTCATATTATGAGCAGGAATCCCTTCTGGAGCACATGTGTACCTCCATAGTGTGTAGTGGATAAAGCACCCGGAATCACCAAACCTTGAACAAGAATGTTGGCTGCAATATTTTGGACCTGAAAGGAACTTTGTGTGTCCTTTTATGTTGGCCCATCTTTCTGTGGGTATACATGCTTTTCCTCATCTGGGTGTATCTTAATCCTTTCCCTTCTCAGGCCCTCTTCATCTCTGAGGATATCACCTCTCCCTGTCTCATTTCCATGCGTTGAATCCAATAATTTTTAAAAGAACCTAGTTAATGAGTATGGGCCATTTCTTTTAAGTGCTCAGAACTCAGTTCACCTTGCCATCAGGGTTTATTGAACACCTGCTAGGCCCAGAGCAAAACTAAAATGGGCACTGGGGAATTGCAAAGAAAGAAAAGGGCATAATTCTTTACTCTGCAGAGTTTACAGTCTACAGGGGAAAATGAGAAGACAAATTCCATTATCTAGAGAACAGATCATTACAGGTGGCATGTACATGTGCACACACACAGATACTTTTACCAAGGAGCATGTGAGAGCATCTGCACTTTGGAGAGGGTAGAAGGACAGTTCTAGTAGGTGATATTACAAGTGCAAAGTGAAAATTTCTGTCCAGGGATTTGTGGCATTTTTCATTTATTTTCCCTGGAGACCAAATAGTA